TTCATAACTTTATATAATAAAAACTGTCCATTAAAACCATATTGCAGTAAAAGGAAATATTCAGAAAAACCTTGGATGTCTAAATCGATTCAAAATGCTTGTAAAAAAAAGAATACTCTTTATAGGAATTTTATAAAATATAGAACGAAAGAATTGGAGTTAAAATATAAGAAATATAAAAACAAATTAACTAACATAATGAGGGTATGTAAGGATTATTACAATAATTTACTAGATAAAAATGAATATAATGCGAAAGTAATATGGAATACAATAAACACTATTATTACAAAAGGACTTAATAAATTTAATTATCCGGAATATTTCAAGGACAATGACATACAGTTGACAAATATGAACGTGGTGGTTGACAGATTCAATAATTTTTTTGTAAATGTGGGCCCTAAACTGGCCAAAGATATAAAGCACACAGGGATGAAATACTCTGTGATGGATCAAGTGGATAGAAATCCACACTAATTTTTTTGGGGAATTGTAGAAGGTAAAGAAATTATAGAGATCGTAAGTAAATGTATGAATAAAACGTCTAAAGATTGTGATGACATTGATATTTCACTAGTAAAAAAAGTAATTGATGGAATTGTAGATCCATTAACATATATATATAATTTATCATTTAAAACAGGAGTATTTCCTGAAAAGATGAAGTTGGCAAAAGTCATCCCTTTGTATAAAACAGGTGATTCACATATTTTTAATAATTATAGACCGATATCCTTGCTCTCTCAGTTCTCAAAAATACTTGAAAAATTATTTATTAATTTATATATATTAAAAGGCTAGATAATTTCATTGATAAAAACAACTTACTAACGGACAGTCAGTATGGATTCAGATCTGGTAGATCAACGTCTATGGCACTAATTGAGTTAGTAGACAGATTAACAAATTGTATTGAAAATAAAAAATATGCAGTAGGGATTTTCATTGATTTAAAAAAAGCTTTTGATACTGTTGATCATGAAATTATGTTAAAAAAATGGAAAGGTATGGCATTAGAGGTGTGGGCTATAATTGGATAAAAAGTTATATGGAAAATAGGAGTCAGTTTGTACAAATGGGTAATCACCGGTCAGTAAGCCTCAGTATTTCCTGTGGTGTCCCACAGGGATCAGTTTTAGGCCCCAAACTGTTTATTCTTTATTTAAATGATATATTCAAAGTATCAAATGTACTTAAATTTACTGTTTTTGCTGATGATACAAATGTTTTATGTTGCGGAGACAATCTGCAACAGATGATGGAAGTGGTAACAATCGAAATGAATAAATTAAAACTTTGGTTCGATTCGAATAAGTTATCCCTCAACTTTAACAAAACTAAAAATTTTTGGGTGTTGTACTTGACCATAAATTGTGCTGGAAGCCCCACATCAAAAATTTGTGCATGAAGATGCACAGCAAAATCCCCAGTGTTAAATTAACACTCTGAGTGTGGACTCATATAAACACTGAAGCAGTGTTAAAGTTAACACTGAAGCAGTGTTAAAGTTAATGAGATAATTAAGTGAATAATTGAGTGATGATTGAGCATCATTGAAGACACCTGATGTTAACAAGCAGAATCACTGAAGGAGAAAACCGTAATTTTAAGTCACCATTATGGTGATCAGTATTTGCTTTAGTTGGGCTCTTGACCCTTTAATCAATAACTTCAGATTTTGTTTGGCTGCTGTACGTGAGTTATAACAGCCAGATGAACATATAGAAAAGGTGATATGATGGTGTTGGTTGTGTTTTAACATAATCATTATTTCACAATCATTTGACCTGAATCACTGAACTCATATATAGGCCAATTTCTGAGTTAGGTTTGCTTTATTAATTATAGCAGCACTGTCCTTGTATGGCATCATATTTTTAGCCTTTTCAATGAAACCAAATGATCAAAAAAAAAAAAAACATCAAAAATGATTTAGGTTGGTGCACACAGACATCAAGATTTAGCATATGAATCTCAGCAATGGTGACAAACAGATCACTTCTGAACATAAGCTCATTATTTATTCCATGCAGCAATGCATGATTGGAGCCATGAATGAGTTTTTATTGGTGGCACCCAGAATGCACAACAACATGCTTTAATAATTGTCACCATTGTTGAGATTCACAGGCTGATTCTTGATGTCTTTGTGTCTAAAAACTGTATCAAATAAATGATTTTTTTTTTTTTATATGAGACGTGTATAAAATAAATTTCTGTGGATTACTTTGTAAAAGTTTAAAACACTATGCTGTGCAAGAATAGTGCTGCTATAATTTATAAACTAAACCTAATTTGGGCTCTTTATGAGTTCAGTAATTCAGGTCAAATGATTGTGAAATAATGATTATGTTAAAACACAACCAACACCATCAGATCACCTTTTCTATATGTTCATCTGGCTGTTATAACTCACGTACAGCAGCCAAACAAAATCTAAAGTTAATGATTAAAGGGTCAAGAGCCCAACAAAAGCAAACACTGATCACCACAATGGTGACTTAAAATGACGGTTTTCTCCTTCAGTGATTCTGCTTGTTATCATCAGGTGTCTTCAATGATGCTCAATCATCCCTCACTTATTCACTTAATTATCTCATTAACCTTAACACTGCTTCAGTGTTAACTTTAACACTTCTTCAGTGTTTATATGAGTCCACACTCAGAGTGTTAATTTAACACTGGGGATTTTGCTGTGTGGCCAGGATTATTGGTATATTGAGTAAAACCAGATATATATTGAATAAAAATACATTACATACTATTTACTGCACACTTATTTTGCCATACATGTTATACTGTGTGGAAGTTTGGGGAAATACCTATAAAAGTAATTTACAAAATATTTGCACACTACAAAAAAGAGCAATCCGGATAATAAATCATACTGGGTATTATGAGCACACTAATCTTTTGTTTTTTTAATTCACATTTGTTAAAATTTATGGACATTGTTACATTTAAAACTGCTCAATTTATGTTTAAAGTCAAAGAAAATAATTTAACATAAGTGCAATGTTTAATGAAAGAGATGGGGGATATCATCTAAGAGGATATTGTATGTTCAAACAACCTCTTGTACGAACTGCTATTAAAAACATGTGTATATCAGTTTGTGGGGTAACTATATGGAATGGACTGGATAATGACGTCAAACAGAGCCATAATATCATTCGGTTCAAGAATAGATTAAAGAAATCATTATTGGACCAATATAGATAAGTATAGACTGAAACACAGGACTTAATTTGCAATGTGAAAGTATTGTGGTTAAGGTATTGTTGTGAGTAATGTAAGATCTGAGAAAAATGTATGCTGTAACTGCGTATTTATTTGCTTTTTAATATTATTATTTTTGTTAAATAGGGGCAGGTTTAAATAAGCTAATTGCTTCTGCCTGCTCCTTCTCAAACAAATTTTTTTTTTTTTTTTTTTTTTTTGTTGTTGTTTTGGTATTATTATTATTATTATTTATACATATATATTTATTTTTTGATGGTTGTGTTTTACTTTGTGGTTTTAATTATTGTTTTGTTGTTGTGTATCTATGTTGATTGTTTGAGACAAATAATAAAGAAAGAAAGAAAGAAAGAAAGAAAGAAAGAAAGAAAGAAAGAAAGAAAGAAAGAAAGAAAGAAAGAAAGAAAGAAAGAAAGAAAGAAAGAAAGAAAGAAAGAAAGAAAGAGCAACGTTTAAGATATCATTTGGTTTATTTTGAAAAATCTGGATCTAATGTTATAGAATCACTGTGATGCTGTTATGATCATTATACATTTAAGTCAGAGAGTAGGCTTTAAATGATTTCAGTGATTCAGGTCAAATGATGATTATGTCTAAACATGATCTGCAACATCTGATCTGATCTGATCTGATCTGATCTCTTTGTTCATCCAGCTGTTAAAACAGCCAAACAAAATCTTTAGTTAAACATTTAAAGGTCACCTGCCCAACTAAAACAAACACTTTAAAATATAGATTTTCTCCTTCAGTGATTCTGCTAGTTAACATCTGGTGTCTTCAATAATATCTCAATCATCACTCAATTATTCACTTAATTATCTCATTAACTTTAACACTCTTGAGTCTGGATCCAAATAAACTCCCAGTAAAGTTCATTTAACACTGGAGTTTTTGCTGTGGGTGGAATAAAAATATGGCAGGACTTTTACTTTCTGACCCCTGGACTTTCCACCTCTGATGTGATGTCCACGTATGTGGATAACCAGGTCTTAGGAGGCTACATGTGAGTGTAAATACAATGAAGAAAAATAACATTTAAATGATAATTTTGCTACAGTTTTTGTTTGAACATGGAGCATTTCTGTAATACATTTTCATTTTCATTTTGCAACTTATAAAGCGTTAAAATCAGTATTTAATTTACATATTAAAACTAGTGTATATGAAATGGCAAATGTAAATTATATAATTGATTTATTTTCTTTTTACACCAACGTTGCACAAATGTAATGGAAAATGTACATTTAAATACAGAAATGCATTGTCATTTTACATATTGTATTGTCATTTTGCATATTACATTTCAAATTGAATATTGCTACCCAAATGCTTCCATATCTGTTGAGATCTTCAGAGATTTTATTGATTTGATTTGATAATAGAAAACTTAAAGTAAGTTCTCTTTACTTTCATAAAGTTATTTCAACTACATTTATGTTCAAATAACAAAACATTTCAAGTTAATAATACGAAGTAAATACAGCTTAACTGAGTCCCAAAAAGTGAAAGTAAAGTGTTGACAGTGTAGTGGATGTAAGATAAAAAAGGTGAAAAAAAGAACAATTGAAATTATTTCTTGAACAGTTTAAACACGTTGAAATGAATTATGCAGTGGTGCATGTAAGGTATTGGCTCACGCATCATGTTCCCTGATGTGAAGTAGGCCTACTAAGGAAAATGTCTCCTCCGCTTATATATAAGCTATATATTTAATGCTGTTTTCTCCTCTTAATGTCTTTATCCTTAATTTTCTTCAGCACACGATCAACTACAGGATGAGCACAGGAAAATACAAACTGTCTTTATTGAATCATTTAATTTAGTATTAATTTCAAGTCTGTTTTTTTTATCCACAGAATATTTAATTAACAGACATTATGTATTCACATACTTGTATATCTCCTGTAATTTATGTAGTTATTGTTCTTCAATCAGAAATGATATGTTATTAATGCTAATGTTGTCTGAATTCTGTTTTCTCTTGTCTTTATTCTGAATTTTCTTCAGCACACAAACAACTACAGGATGAGCACAGGAAAATGCAACATGGTGAATCTGTCTTTATTGAATCATTTAATTCAGTATTAATGTCAAGTCTGTTTTTTTTTCCACAGAATATTTAATTTACAGACATGTATTCACATACTTGTATATCTCCTGTAATTTGTACACTCAAAAAAATGATGTGTTGGCTTTACTTTTTTTTGTAAACAGGTTCCACCACATAACTTGGTTTCGTTAAACAAACATAATTTGTTCATGTAACTTCAATATCATGGAAGTCATTTTGAGCCATCCAATCAACGTCTGAGCTGAGTGTTTAATGAACACTGAAGCAGTGTTAAAGTTAATGAGATAATTAAGTGAATAATTGAGTGATGATTGAGCATTATTGAAGACACCTGATGTTAACAAGCAGAATCACTGAAGGAGAAAATCGTAATTTCAGGTCACCATTATGGAGATGAGTGTTTGTTTTTGTTGGGCTCTTGACCCCCACATTATTAACTTTAAATTATGTTTGGCTATACATGAGTTATAACAGCCAGATGTTCACATAGAAAAGGTGATCTGATGCTGTTGGTTGTGTTTTAACATAATCATTATATGTTGAAACGTGACACCTTGACACTTGGTCAGGTGGAACTGGGGATATAACCACCAACCTTCCGGTTTTTAGACATCCTATACATGAGCCATTGCCACTGTTAAGTTTACCTTATAGATTATAACAGCACTGCTGTTGTAGAGCATACCATTTTTAGCCTTTTCAATGGAATTCAAATGATCAAATCAATAAAAAAGAAACTTCTAAAAAACAAATTGGCTTATGTATAGGCACACACAGACATCAAGAATCAGCCTGTGAATCTCAACAATGGTGACAATTATTAAAGCATGTTGCAGTGCATTATGGGTGACACCAATCAAAATTCATTCATGGCTCCCATGCATTGCTGCATGAATAAATATTGAGCTTATGTTCAGAGGTGATCTGTTTCTCACCATTGCTGAGATTCACACGCTAAATATTGATGTCTGTGTGTGCATGCATACAAATGTTTTCTTTTTGATCATTTGGATTCCTTTGAATGGGCTAAAAAAAGGTATGCTCTACAATGGCAGTGCTGCTATAATCCATAAGATAAACTTAACTCAGAAATTTGCTTCTATATGAGTTCAGTGATTCAGGTTAAATGATTGTGACATAATGATTATGTTAAAACACAACCAACATCATCAGATCACTTTTTCTAATTGATCATCTGGCTGCTATAGCTCATACAAAGCAGCCAGACAAAATATAAAGTTAATAATGTGAGGATCAAGACCCCAACTAAAACAAACACTCATCTCCATAATGGTGACTTTAAATTACGTTTTTTCTCCTTCAGTGATTCTGCTTGTTAACATCAGGTGTCTTCAATAATGCTCAATCATCACTCAATTTTTCATTTAATTATCTCATTAACTTTAACACTGCTTCAGTGTTCATTTAACACTCAGCTCAGAGTTTAATTGGATGGCTTAAAATGACTTCCATGATGTTGAAGTTACATGAACAAATTATGTTTGTTTAACGAAACCAAGTTATGTGGAACCGGTGGAACCTGTTTACAAAAAAAAGTTAAGTAAAGCCAACACATCATTTTTTTGAGTGTTATTGTTCTTCAATCAGAAATGATATGTTATTAATGCTAATGTTGTCTGAATTCTGTTTTCTCTTGTCTTTATTCAGAATTTTCTTCAGCACACAAACAACTACAGGATGAGAAGAGAAAAATACAACATGGTGAATCTGTCTTTATTAAGTTATTGATTAATTGTTCATTTAAAGTCTGATTTCAGCCATAAAATATCTACTTAACAGCCTGTTTGTATTCATTTAGTTTTGTGTCTATCTTGGGTCCTATAAATGGTTATATTATATATGTATAATTTATTCAGTCACATATGTACTTGTGTGATGTTAACACACACTATAAACACAACTAATGATTGTAACTTGTTTGTAATTTCAATATCAAGTCACTTTTATTTCTGTAGCGCTTTTTTCAATACAGATTGTTTCAAAGCAGCTTTACAGTGATAACAGGAAAATAATGCAACAAGTTTGATTCTGCTTTACAGAAGATCTATAATGTTATTTTCTCGTCTATTTCTGAATTTTCTTTAGAACGTGATCAACTTTTACACAGTCAAAAGATTATTCTACCAAAAGGTGAATTTGTTTATATGCCTTTATTAAACTATTAATTACTTTTGAATTATTTTGCAAAGCAATGCATTCATACACTGTGTATTCATATATGTCTTTAATTCATTATATTTTATTATAGGATATACAGTATAAACAGTGTTAAGTCTTCTTGGATTTTGTTGCTCTTCAAGCAGTGATTAAAATGATTGATCTCATTATTGATTTAAAGATTAATTCTGATATGAACCCTTTATAACTTCATTCTTTCTGTTTTATACTTAGCTCTCCTACATTTAAGAACACACACAGGTGAGTAAAATCTATTCATAAGTATTTATTTTAATTTCCCAAATTCATCATCCTGTCAAACATTTATTAATTTATGTATTGCACATAACTGGATCACAGTGTCATAGAGAAGGTCATAAAGGGATTGCGCTTGGTTTATATCATTCATTCTGACACGCAGCCATTGGAGTTTCATTATCACTGGCAACTACCAAGCCACTACCTAGCAACCAAACAGAGTACCCTAGCAACCGTTTAGCACAGGGGTGTCCAGTCCGCGATTTTTTTTTTTGCAGGGTGGTAGGGGAAGACTCGTTAATATTCATTGGGGAACTCGTCCCTGATTGGCTCGCCATGACGCATCTCTAATGAGATGTGATAGAGAAAACAGACATCGTCTCCTTCGTGACAACAGACACTTTCACGAAGGTAAGTCATACCTGTCAACATTTGGTTATCCAAATCCGGGAGATTTGTGCGGAGACCGCTCACGAACTTCGTGAACTTCTGTATCTTTGCGGGGACACCGTCTTGACCTGCCATGTCAATCTGAGTGACGTGTGACAGCGAACCAATTGCGGATGAGTTCCCCAATGAATATTAATGATTCTTCCCCTACCACCCTGCAAAAAAAAAATTTGCGTCCAGTCCTGCAGGGTTCAACTCCAACGCCAATTAAACACACCTGAGATGTGCTGAGATATGGCTTATTCATGTGTTCAAGTGGTTGCTAGGGTGTTCTGGGTGGTTGCTATGGTGTTGCTAGGGTGTTCTGGGTGGTTGCTAGGGTGTTCTGGGTGGTTGCTAGGCTATTCTGTGTGGTTGCTAGGAGGTTTCTATGGTGTTCTGGGTGGTTACTATGGTGTTACTAGGTAGTTGGTATTTGTCACAGATGGTTACTCTGGAGTTTTTATAGAGTCCTTCAAATCTTTAGTAATGAGTGTCTTTAGTACGGCCTGCGTCCTCGTGCCTATGGCCTATGGTTGCTAGGGTGCTGTAACTGGTTGATAGGGCGTGGCTATGAAGATTTTAGGCCATTACTTATTGGCTGCTTGATAATAAATCCTCTGAGGGAGAGATGCAGGGGTGTCAGGCCCTAGCTAGCCGTAGGAAAGAAGCCATGTCGTGGGAGCACGTACAAAACACTGTTAAACATGATGGTTCATATTTATCACACCCGCGGTGTATAACACAGTGTGGGATGAAATGAAGAAGTGGCCTGATATCTTATGAGAACATATTCCATTATTGTGTGTTATATATGTGCGTTTTAGCAGCTTGTTTAACAAATGCCATCTCTGCATATGCTGTGAGTTTGGGTTACTTATGACGTTCATGAACGCCATTTCACCAGATTTGCAACGTAAATCTTCTGTAAACCTACGCCAACACAGGGGAATACATCAATATGTTTCTAAATATGCAAACTGTTCATTCATGGCGACTTCAAAATTAAAGTTTAAACCCTCATGAGTGTGTTTTGATGTCCACATGTTATTGTTCAAGAAATTACAGTGGCTGTAACATTTCTATCGTAAAGAAGTGGGCAAATATTAAAGGGATGATCATCCGTGGATCTGCCATTGACGAAGTGGAAAGAGCAAAAGTGCGGAAATTTTAGCGGTTCCTCACAAATGTGTCGCTCAAACACACACAAGAGAAATACATAAACTACTGCTGCGTTTATAACCTTAATAACATCATTTAACATGCACTGAATTGTGTCACACGTTAAGCATGTGCGTGCAAAGAACTCAAAATGGTGATTGAACGGTTAAAAAAATATAAAAACTCCATAGTAACCATCTGTGACAACTAGCAACTGTCTAGCGACACCCTAATAACCACTGAGAACACCATAGCAACCACCCACAATTCCATAACAACCACCTAGAATTGCAATAGAAACAAACCAGAACACCCTAGCAACCACTGATAATACCCTAGTCACCACCTGGCAATGCCCTAGCAACCACTAGCAAAGCCCTAAAAACCAACGAGAATACCCTAGCTACCACATAGCAACCACCCAAAACACCCTAGCAACCACCCATAATACCTTAGCAACTTCAAACCTTTTAAACTACTTCAGACTTTCTGCTCTGGTTTTCTCAAGACAACTTCAAAGTTTGCTTACAAACTTTTTAATCTAGTTTACAATTAATGCAGAATTGTTTATTTTTTATTATCTTGTTTTAAAGTTACCATGATTCTTATAAAAATAAATAATTGTCTTTATTTTGTCATATGCCCGTCTGTAAAGCAGTATTTCTATATTTTCTGCAGTGAAAGTGACTCTGGATGCTGATTCAGCTCATCGACGTCTCATCGTGTCTGATGATGGGAAACAAGTGAGAGATGAAATCAGCCGGAACGCAGTGGATGATGGAAAACACAGGTTTGATGAATATCTTGGTGTTCTCGGAAAGGACGGATCCTCCTCAGGGAGTTTTTACTTTGAGGTGCAGGTGAAGGATCAAACTTGGTGGGATTTAGGAGTGGCCAGAGAATCTATTAAGAGGAGCGGCAGGCTCGGCCTGAGGCCTGATGTTGGATACTGGACTGTGAGACGGAGAGATACGAGGTATTGGGCTCTTGAGTCTCCATCTGTCTCTCTGTCTCTGAGAGTGGAGCTTCAGAGGATCGGTGTGTTTGTGGATTATGAGAAGGGTCTCGTCTCCTTTTATGAAGTGGAGTCCATGTCTCATATCTACTCTTACACCAGTCAGTCTTTTAATGAGAAACTCTTTCTATTTGTTGGTTTGGGGTATCAGTGGGAATATGTAAACTCCACACCACTGATTATCTGTGATGATTATTAATGACGTCAGTGAATGAATTTACATGATCAAGTGAAATAGAAGGAAATACAATACAATACAATAAGTGTAACATCCACAAATATGAAGTATTAATCACAAATGTGGACACAGAAGTGTGTGTGAGGCGTTCACATGATCCCTGTTCCCCGTCAGCTCCTCCTCATCTCCACTAGATAGTGAATGAAAGTCATCATGAAGTGCTGATCACAGGAACTGTTCCTCCCTCAATAGTGTTGGTGTTTGTTGATGAATGTCCAGATTGAGGAAAGCTGCAATCAAAGAACAAGCTCAAATATTTGACATATTCATGTGTGTAACGTTTTGCTCACTACATCATTCCCACAATGCCATGTGTGTTATTCAGATTTCATGACTTATATGTGGATCGCGTAAAGAATTAGCCGTGTCCAAACTTCTGATCCTAACTTATTAGATTTTGGACACAGATGAATAGATGAGTTTAAGTTTATTCATGTATTCTTAAGTGCTCATTTGTATTCTTCATTTTCAATCTTTTATTATTAGGATGGATATCGTTCACCCAAAAAGAAAATTTTCATGTCTTTCCAACCCTGTTTTTATTGTTCTATTAAAGAAAATATTGATATGTTATGAGTCTGAGCCATTGGTTGAGTTTTACTGTCAAGCTCTTAAAGGACTAAATGAGTATCATAATAGTGTGTGTTCAGAGTTAACGGCTGTAGTGGACGGATATCACGGGATTCACACTCATGTTCAGTGTTGATGATGCAATTTAAGTTCTGTTGCTTTTATATGAAAATAAATATAATGAACAAGACACCCAAAGTACTGTTATTTATTTCCATTCGAAAGACGTGTTTATAAATCATTTTTACGTTAATTACAGAGATGTTTTTATATATTTTTATTTATATGACAACAATCAAATAACCCATATGGAGATTGCACTGTCAGAGAGTTTGGGAATATTCACACATAATTTATACACATAATAAAACATGATATCAGAGTTTTAAAATCAAACATTTTTAAAGAGACCAATGAGCATTAGGCTGTGTCGTCAGCGAGTCGTTTCCCATCATGCTTTAGTTCAGCGCAGTCGGTGGAGAGCAACTGTTTCCGCCTGCAGAATCCGACACGTCCGCCTCGCCGTCGCCAGAGTTTTAGACACACACGTCAGCATGACATCAGAGCAAGGCGGACCGCACTCACACACACACACATTACACCCGGCTGTCGCTCACTTGCTCCCTGTTATATAAGCTTCATTTTTCACCCCAGAGATATTGAACAATTGCGATATAATTATTATTATTATTTTTAAATCCTTATTTTTTTGAAAGATGGTTTTCGGCAGGTTTAATACGAGTAGATCAATGATTAAATCAAGAAGGTGTTTTATTTGGAGTTTCTAGATTAATAACTAAACAAATATTTATTGGTAAATAAAATTAAGTAAATAACTTTTACTATCGTACACAGGTACTACCCAGTAAACAATTTTTTTTTTGTTAAATGTAAAAAGGATATTGATCTGAACTGTTCTGTTTGCAACACATTGGCTGAAACCTGGTTTCGTTTATTTTGGCATTGCGCCCACGTAAGAACATTTTGGAAAAGATTTGTCGATTTATAATTGACAACATTGACCCCACTTTTACTAATTTTCCCTCAAATAGAAGGAAAGAATACTATATAATAAATTTCATTTTTGCTAAATTCCATATACATAAATGTTAGTACAGTAAAACCCAATTTTAGTTTTTGGTTCTCGAAAAAGAAATACAGAGATAGAAAAATACTATTTTTCAATCACACAATAAGAAAGCACTAAAACATTTTCAGTTCGTGACTTCTTTGATATATTTATATGTTTAGCCTCTCCTGGCTGTCTGTTTTTCTGTGTGTATATGTGTATTATTGTAGTTCTGACTGTACATTGACTTTATTTGAAGTTTTTTTTTAAAAACTGATTCATTTGGACTCACACAGACATCAATAATCTGCATATGAATCTCAACAATGGTGACATGCTTCGTGCCACAATGCATGCTGGGAGCCACCATAGTTTAAAACCCATTGCTCCCAGCATGCATTGCTGCTGTGTGAGAAAACAAGATAACACATACAGAAACAAAACGAGAAAGACAAAGAATGTATTTCATTATAAAACTTTATTGAAGGTTTGTTTCTCCTGGATCAGGATGGAATGATATGAAAAAGATGTGAGAGCCAGAGACTGATAAAACCAGACATTTAAGAGAAAGAAAAGTTCAGTGCTCTGCGTTGCACTCGTTCACTTTAAAACCATTCAGAACTCAACAACAGCCGTATGAACATCCACATGAAGCGTCTTGAGAAGTGTTCGTTTAACTCTACACACTGCATTTCAAACGCCGTCTGTTCATTTCAACACAATAAGTGTGCTTTCAGTTACACCAGTCCTTTAAAACAACAGGTCATTGGGAAAGCACTGCTCGTATTTAAATAAACGCAACAGTGAAACCCGAACCGCATCGGCTGACTTTGTAAGAGTTTCTCGACAGCATCTGTTGAACCTCCACTTTGGCCTCTTGATCATTGGCAACGTGTAAAATCTAGCAGAAATAAACATAAAACGAGCTGACGCTAGAAGCCCTGCGGCTCTCAGGACACGCCGGCACTGAGATCTCAGGCTGGCCCGGGTGAAAGGAAACACATGAGCACTGAAGCAGTGACCGCGTCCTCTAGCAGAAGCTGGGCCGGGATTGGCTGTGACAGGCGTGATGCGCTGCTATAGTTTCAGTGTTCCCGCTGGAAGACTTCCATTGCACAGTCTGTAGAAGCGCAGATCGTTCACGATACGATACACTCCCTGAGAGAACGACGGCAGGTCCTGTGAGGGGCGGAGAAGACAGGGAAAAAGAGACGTGACTTACGTGTTAAAACATGAAGACGGTTCACACTGCATGACTACACCTATGACATCATCATCCAAGCCAGGTTTTGTGAATCTGACAAAACCGGCCTTAAAAATGTCCTGGTCGTATTGCACTCTAATTTGTTTCCAGCTATTTTGACAATAATGGCTGTATCTTGAGTTATTTTCAGAGGACAGTAAATATACACTGCTAAACAAGCAGCACATTGACTACTCTAAATATATCCAAGTTTCATTTCTATACTATTGTCCCTTGAGAAGATATACTAAAATGTTTGCTAAAATGTGAGGGGTGTACTCACTTTTGTGAGATACTGTGTATTATATATATAAAATAATTCTGGTCATGTGAACAATTACATTATTTAGTTTGCCAGGCAAAGCTTGGCTAAGAGTGAGGATGTCCCAGCTTCACATCAGTAAAACACACTCCAGTAATTCGATCTTCAGGTTTGAATCACATCAGTCACGTTCACTCACTCTCTCTGGCGTGAAGTTTCGGGCGAGCGTTGTGCGCTGGTGAGGGTCGAGGCCTTGGCAGCCGTTGAGAAACTCTGGCAAGAAGGAAGAGTAAAACGCTTGGAAATCCACAGCCGCCATGTTGTAGAGCGCCAGCGTGATGTCGTCCTGGAGGAGGTCGTGACTCTTGTGCAGCAGGACTTGCAGAAGAACATTTATGAAGTGGAAGAGCATGGAGTTCCTGAACAGCTTCTGAAACACACACACACACACACACACACACATCACTGACCAAACCACACACACACACCACTGACCACACACACCACACATCACTGACCAAACCACACACACACCACTGACCACACATCACTGACCAAACCACACACACACCATCTGCCATCTGATCACACCGTCCTGCATCATATTCACTGAAGGAAATATAATACTTGTTTCTTACTAATTTTGGGGTGCTGATTACAGAAATTGCTCTAGCTCACAAAATATGATGCATTTCGTAGCATTTTTGCTTTCGGCAACTATTTGTAAGGTGAAGTAGTGTATTATCCATAAAATCAGCAGAAATACTGCCATAAAGACATGATTCCTATCTTCATCTGTTAAATTATCTGCTGATCTTCAAGACATTATTTCACGCCTAATCCTGGTTTCAAGGTTAGAATTATGGCCAGGGACAGAAGGAAATATAAACATGACTCAGATGTTTTCTGATACATCTGTGAGTGTTTTACTACAGACAAACGGCAATGGAAATTTTCAGGTTTAGTAAAAATTTTTTTATAAAATAATTTTTTTTTTTATAAAGTTGTGTTAATGTAGTTCTTTGACATTAATTGTATTTAGCCATGTTTTTCCACTCCTTTGAAGAGACGTTTTAAGGACTATACGTATACATTTTATTTTATTTTATATGTGTATATACACACAATCTGATTTGAGCAAATGTTAGCATATGTCAGCGCGTCTTACCCTGTGGTACAACTTGTGTTTGGTGTTCAGGACCTCCAGGTAACTCAAGTTTTGTTTGAAGATGTGAATATCCGGCTGTAGGAAAGACTGACCAAAAGCCTGCAAATCAAACACACGACGCTCAGACACAAGAATCACACACAACAGCGTTTCCAGCTCCGCTATTTAATCTGCAACTTGTGAATCTTATTTTTTAAAAATGTCTGGGAACTGCAAAACAATTTACAGAAAGTAAAAAGCCAAAATAATTATTATACAGCTATGGGATTTCAGTACCAAACATCAGGGTTATATTGGTCAAATAAAAACTGAAACTATTAAAAACATTTCTGTTAATTGAAATAAATTACTTCACAGTAACATGTAAAATCCTCATTCATAATTTTTGATATTTCTTATTTTTATTAAAAACAATATTTAAATACGATAATATTTAGAGCTTTGAAGTGCTGAAAAAAGTGTGAAGCATTTAAAAGTCCTTGAAAAAAGTGCTTGAATTTCACTCTCAAAAGGTTGTACGAACCCTAAAATGAATCATGGTAAAACATTTGACTTTTTCTGCCACAATATCATGGTTACAGTTAGTGTTACTGCCAGGGGCGTAGCAGCCATTATAAAAGTGGGGGGGACAAAATGGTGTGGTGATGTG